GGGGGGAGGAAGCAAATCGGCTGCGGTGTGTCAGTCCCACACAAATGAGATATGCCGGCCCAACTTGTTGCGTGGCGTGCCTCTGGCGTGCAGTTGCGCCCCGGGGGCGTTATTCTTCCCGCAGCCTTGCTTCCTGTCCACCTGTCGGGGGAGATAAGCGCGCCGCGTCACGTCACACGCCACACCGTCACACCGCGTCACGCACACGCCGCGCGCGCGCGTGTGTGTGACGATGACGGCCGGCGCCGTCACGGCCGGGTGACGTGACGCATCGGGCGGCGCCGCCGCTCCGGCCAATCACAGCCCGGTCCGACCGCCGGGTCACCAATCAGAGCCGCCCCGGCAATTACTCCGGCGGGGGGCGGGAAATTCGGTTTGCTCTCCAAGTGCTCCATTCAAATTGAAACAAAAAAAAGTTTTGGCATGCACTGAATGATTATAAACGAAGCATGATATGATAGTAGCCGACGACGCCAACATAATTTATTGTGTACCACAAAAAAAACCCACCAAAAACACAATATACCTCGATGTTTCACCAAAGTAGTGCGTGAAAAAAGTAATTTTGGAGGGGAACAAGGGCGGCGTTTTTTGCCCTGAACTGTCTCCTTCCTTTGGGAGAGTTTTTCGCCTATGTGTGACCATACGTGGGGCCCATACTTTGACTTTTCCAGTGTGCTGGGGCCGGTGGCGGCGGGCGAGTGTGTGGGTCTGGACTGGACGTGGGTCGGCCCCGGACAACCCTTTGCACTTCATCCGGACTGGACGCCGCCGCCGCGACCCTGGAGGTCCACTGCTATCAACGCCGCTGGTGCGGCACCCATGACTTCACCGGATTTTATACGCACAATAGGGTGCCTTCACTAAACCAAAAGAAGGGGAGGCGTTTCTGTTTATGTCGGTGCCTTTCGATGGAATAAACTAGATTGCCTCTTAGAAATGTGCAAATGTGCTCAAAGACTTTTTGGATCTTCTAGATGTTTTAATTTAGCCTACGCCCACAGGGTGCTTCGCACACCCAGAAAACCGTTTCTTTGGATTAAAGAAATTTTATTCAATTCAACGAAAATTTTGTGCCAGAAAACCAAAGAAAACTTTTTCGTTCATACAACGAAAAAATTCTTCTGCAGAAGGAAATTTTTGCCAGAGTGAAGAAATTAAAGAAATGTTTTCTTCTAATCAACGAAAATATCGTCAGTTCGTGATTTCGTTAAGTCAAAGTGCATACCTTCTCGTAATGGCTGTGGTTGGTCAAGCTTATCACCTGCGTAAACTGTACAAAAGTTTTATGCTTTTCTAAGAAGTTACGAAATGCAGATACAGCAGTGGATGAGACCCTGACAAAGAAGAGTGTGTGATGTGTGAGTGTGTGTGTGAGTGCGCGCGCGAGAGGGAGCGAGCAAACGAGAAAGAGCGAGAGAGAAAGAGAGATGGGAGAGGGGGGGGGGGGGGTAAGTCCGGCGAAGGGGAAGAGAGAAAGCAAATGGGGGTGAGGTGGGTGGGGGCGTTTAATTTTCGGAGAGGTAGTGGTCGGTGGTGAGCTGGGCTTGGCCGGGCTGGGCCTCGGCAGGCGAGGGTCGCTGTGGTGCGGTGTTGGTCGAACCCCGTCCTGCGATGGCCGACATCTTAGTGGACGGGGCGTGGCGGGGTGGGGCGGCAAGGGGAAAGGGGGGAGGGGGTGAGGGGCGCCGCGGCGCGCCCACCGCGACGCTGCCGGGCCGTGCCTCGGCCGGGGCCGCCTCTGCTCTTTCCCCTCCGGACCTTACCGGACCGTACCGACCCTCGGCCGCGCCGCGCCCCGCCACGCCACGCCACACCACGCCACGGGGCCAAATTGCGAGCTCCACTCTCCCCCGCGACGCCCCTTCCCTCCGGACCGCCCGGGGCCTGCAATGGCCCCGCCACACCACCCCGCGCACCCCGCCTGCCCCGCCGCCGTTGGCCCAGCTTGGCCGGCTCACACTGTCAAGCGGAGCCCAAATGGAACGAACCGGGGAGGCCGACGAAAAGGGCCACGGAAATTACACACGGGGCCTGCATAAAATGAGAAGGGCGCAATCTTTTCGTAAAATAAAAGTAGTACTTTTGCCGCGTAACGAAACTTGCGTTTTGAAAAATGCAGATCCTGGCGTGCGAGACATAGAGACAGCGAGATGAAATGATCCACAATGTGGCTTTGCATTGATAGAGAAAAGCCTATCTAGTTTACACTAGCACTCATGTACTCATGTAAAGTGTACGACATCCCCGCTGGCTGCAGCAGAGGCGTCCAGCAGCAGCGACCGCCCTGAGCCAGCCCGCCTTTGTCGAGCTGTAAGTCTAGGCTAATTACAATCCCCTGGCCCGGATACAGGTTTCCCTCCCCCGGCGAGCTTCCCCCCTCCCCTCCTCCAATCCCCGCACTGCGCTGCGCCCCACGAGCAGGGTTTAGGGCGCACACGATGTAATTAATTTATTAGCGGTTATGGCCGCGGCCTGCACCTGAGATCGAAGCCAAACCCCGGGGTATATACTTAAAAATAAACTAGGTACAATTGAGGGAACTATAAAAAACCGAAAGTGGCTTTCTGGGTCGGTTAATTCCAGTTGTTGGGCGAGCAAATTACATTTATCGTTTATAATAAAAACACATGCAACGTTACAAGAATCTGCTGAAAAAAGGAGGGTCCGTCCGGGATTTGAACCCGGGACCTCTCGCACCCTAAGCGAGAATCATACCCCTAGACCAACGGACCGCTGTTGAGCAGAGAGAGTCACGACAGCGTGTGTAGCGGACCCGGAGGCCGGCGGGGCCCGCGAGTCGTTTCGGCGAGCCCCCTCCCCACCCTACAGACACAGCCCGAGTCATTACGTAAAAGTCGGGAGTGAAACTCTGCAAAACGTCGGACCGATGCTACACCGGGCATTGTTCTGAATTGTTCGTATCAGGCACTTAACTATACGGTACTGTACTTCCAAAAGAACTACGAGGGAGAAGACAACTTATTTTCACTGCCTTATCATGGGGAATTTAGTCGTGGCGCCGACAAACAAAATGGTACTTTTTTCTGTTTTTTTTTGCTCGCAGTGTAGCCCGCGAAGCCGCGCCGCTACAACGGTCAGCGAGTTCGGCAGGTCGTCGACGGGGAGGGGGCGGCCGCGGGCTGAGCAGCCTCGCCGCGCGCCGCCGGGCCCGCCGCTGACGAGTGCAGTTTCATACATAACGAGCGCCATCACGAGCAGGTTCCTTCGATAGCTCAGTTGGTAGAGCGGTGGACTGTAGAGGCTCATACGTCGGCGGGAATCCATAGGTCGCTGGTTCAAATCCGGCTCGAAGGATATATTTTTTGACAGGTCATAAGTGGGGGACCTTCGCAGCATACCAGGTGGCTGATTCACGCCGCGCACTTTCGTAGTTATACTGTACCGCATGCACGAGTCCTGGTGGGTTTGTCTATGCTCGCTACTCACGGCTCCTTACGGCTCCGTGCGAGTAGGCAACCCGTCCGCACGCGTGCATGCGGTACAGTATAACCACGAAAGTGCGGGGCGTGAATCAGCCACTTAGTTATAACCGCTCATTGGACCCCTTTTCGTTTTCTTACTGCTCAGTTTCATATACTTCCAAACCGAATTCATAAGTCGTATACTACTGCGTTGGCCGCCGCCACCACAACCCTCACGGCGTCTCAGCGCACCCTTCGCACGGCGAGATAAAACGTCGGGGTAGTAGAGAGAGAGGGGGGTGGCTGCGCAATCTGTCCTCGTAAGAAGTTTAGGGCGCGTTCAGTGCGTTACAGTGGTCATCAAGCTGAGCCGTGCGGAGCTGGGCGCGGGGCGGGGCGCGGGCCACCTTCCTAACGTCCGTCCGGGACCCTCTCGGCTCCGCCCCACTCCGCCCCGCTCCCCCGCCGGGCCCATAGAGGGCCCCATGATGGACTGCCGCGACGACACGGCGCGCGCCGCCGCTATAAATATAACCGCAGCGGTATAACCTTGACTTTACGGGCGCCTTGCGCGGGTCATGGTCTGTAGGTTAGGGTTTCTGGGTCAAAACCCCTCTCTTCAATGGCCAACTCTCTTTCTCTCGCACCGCCCCGCCGTACAGTCCGCCCCGCCCGCTCCCCCCAGAAGTGCTCCCTCTCTCTCTCTCTGCTCGGCGTTCAATTGCATGGAAAATCAACAGGTCTTTTTTATGACTATTGTTATTAGAGTGAAAAGGGTGGGTCTGGGTCGGTCTCGGAGGGGCGGTAAGGTTGCTCTGCGCTGCCGGATATTGGGCTGCCGGGGCCGGAGGGGCCGGCGCGCCTTCCGCGGGACTATACACACCGCCGGCCCGAATTTGTGATAATGGGGGCTTAAGTTTCTCTGCGAGAGGGGTAGAGAGGGAACGGGGAAGGCAGGAGGGGATGAGGGAGTGCACGGGAGAGGATAGTGGTGGTATTGAGCCGAGTGGAGCGAAGCGGAGTGGCCCGGCCCGGCGGCCTCCCGAGATGTCGGCAGCACCCAGCAAGCTCGTGCAGCGGTCGGGAGAGGCCAGCACAAGCGGTCCGTTGGTCTAGGGGTATGATTCTCGCTTAGGGTGCGAGAGGTCCCGGGTTCAAATCCCGGACGGACCCGAATTTTTATTATTTATTTTCGCGTATGTTTTTCATTTGCGTGTCGCCGCCCGCCGTGGGGCAATTAATTAAAAATATGCCAATTAATAATGAGAAATAGAGAGTGAGCGGACGGCGGGCGGTGGCCGGCGCGCACGAGCGCGAGGAGGTGGCCGAGCAGGCTCGGAGCAGGCGGCCGGGCGCGCCGCAGCCCGCACCATGACCACGGTCAAGGACGTTTCAAAAGTGGAATAGGCTAGTAGTAGTCGAGCGAGATTATTATAGAAGATAGAGGAGGGGGGGAAAGAGCCGGGCCCGAGCGGCCCGAGCCAAGCGAGGCGGCACGGGCCGACAGCGACGCTCACTCGCTCTCCCTCTCTCTTTCTTTCTCTTCCTCTCTCGTTCACTCCATATCCTGGGTAAAGATGATTCAACATTTTTACCCCTGTCGGCCTATGGACTTTTAATGACCAGTTCGAGTCATCGAGGGAACACAAACGTACATCGCGTAAATCTAAACAACAAACAATATTGCCACTACACGAGTGCGGAGTGCGTGAGAGTTAAAAGGAGGGGAGAAGTGGAGGGAGTCGGGGAACCTATAGTAGTAGAGGCAGGTGCCCGCTATACTTGCATGAGTACCGCGCCCCACCCGGGCGCCACGTGGGCGCGAGTAGCCAATCAGAACTCGCGGGCCACTTTCGCCGAGTGACCTCGCGCTCGGGCCGGGGGGGCTCGCGGTGGTACTTCAGACGGCGGCCCGCTGCTCCGGTTTGGTAGCCCGGCCCGCCCTGCTGCCCGTGTGCTCCTTCGATAGCTCAGTTGGTAGAGCGGTGGACTGTAGAGGCACGCCGTGGGCAGTTATCCATAGGTCGCTGGTTCAAATCCGGCTCGAAGGAATACTTTTTTTGCTGTGGTGCCTCTCTACGCGTGCTGTACTTTACCTGCAACAGAGCACAAATGACGAGGATTAGGACGCTGGTAAGCTTGTGGGTTCTACTTTTATTATTTTCCGCATGGCGCGGAGCTGCGCTTTTGGCGCCGTCTCTCGCCCGGGTCGGGTTTCGCTGATTCGTCGCCCTCTGCTGTCATGCAAATGTCCGAGTGCAGCGGATCGCAGCTATATTGGCCCCATGGCCCCTCACGGTGGCGCGGCGGAGCGGGGCGGGGAGGGGCGGGGAGGGGCGGGTCAGCCTCCGGGGAGCACCTCCCCCCACCCTCTCCTCTTCCGGGGCGGGGAGGGGCGCGGCAGGGCGCGGCAGCGGGGGAGGAAATGCACTGCAAGGTGCTGACGCCGCACGGTGACTCAGCACACAGACACAGAGCGGGGCCGGGCGGAGGCGACGCCTCGTCCGACAGCAGAGCAGGGCCGACGCCGAGGGGGCGGCGCCCATAGCGGCACTGCGGGCGACGCCCGGCGTCCAATATCGAACACACAGGTCCCTTCGCCCTTATACCCTCCCCGGAGCGCCGCGCCACGCCGCGCCACGCCGCCGTCGCGACGCCGCCGAGTCCTGAGGTCCACGGCCAAGTCAATAAGCTATCGACGCCCGGCCCGGCCTTGCGCCTCGTTTGACGATATTGCAGGGACACTGCAATAGAAACATCGGGCGCGTCTCCTTCTCCAGACATTACTGCTCTAGGGGCGTAAGCGGCACTAATCCGCCAGGTCAAATCCTTTCTAAAGCTAAAAAAAAAGAGGACCCCGGAGTAGACGGGAGGGGCAGGTCGGGGCAGCCCCGAGACAGCCTCGCGGGACGCCCAGTGGACACGACACCGAGCTCACTCGCACGGTCTCATGCAGCCCGCCGAAGGTAGCCGAAGCACTATGATGCGGCTGGATTTTGTCGACTTCCTGCGCATCAAGGTGCTTCGGCTACCTTCGGCGCGCTTCGGCGAAAGGTCGGCCGAGACTGTAGCCCTGGCCAGCTGGCAGCCAGCGCGGGAGTGAGAGAGTGAGCCCGTTTGCGGTCTCTTCTTCTCTGCCTCACGCACACGCAGTCCGAGTGGGGAAGTCGCACAGATAGGACGCCTCCGTGCGTGCAGCCGCGCAGCGCCCATCAGCGACCGCCCTGTGTGTGTCTTCAGTGACATCGCAAGTACAAGTCTTCAAGTGGTAAGCAGTTACAAAGTGACAAACTCCCAACAGCACAATTACCATACGGGCACTCTGCTGCCCGTGCTGGCCCCTCATCCCCTGTTCCAGTGCCTGTTTCCAGCAGTAACATTAACAACGACTGCATGCATATGTTCTGTTTCTGAATTGCCTTCAGATTACAACGACATCGAGTATCTCCTGTTGAGCCACCATGCCATTCCAATGTGGCCTGTGCAACAATGAGTTTTCTACTCAAAGCAAATACGCCACTCACATGAGAATCCACACCGTAGAGAAGTCGTTCGAGTGTACAATCTGCAACAAGAAATTTACAACAAAGGGGTCGTGGCACCTACACATGCAGGTTCATACGGGGGAGTCGCCCTTTAAGTGTGCATTCTGCAACAAGTTATGTATGGGAAGTGGCCCACTGCGCGATCATCTTCGGACCCACACAGGAGAAAGGCCCTTTGAGTGTACAATGTGCCAAATGGCATTTTCGCAGAAGAGCCAAATGACCCGACACCTCCGGACCCACACAGGAGAGAAGCCCTTCGCCTGTACAATCTGCAGTAGGAAATTTTCAGAAGCCATCTCCTTGCGCGTACATATCCGGACGCATACAGGGGAGAAGCCGGAGAAGCTCTACGAATGTACAATATGCAAGAAGAAATTTGCACAGAGGGGCCACTTGAGCCTGCATCTCAGGACCCACACAGGAGAGACGCCCTTTGAGTGTACAATCTGCAACAAGAAATTTAAAACAGGTTTGCGTAGACATCTTCGCACGCACACGCAAGAGAGGCCCTTTGAGTGTTCACTTTGCAACAAGAAATTTAGAGAAAAGGGACACTTGCTTCAACACCTGTCGACCCACACAGGAGAGAAGCCCTTCGAGTGTTCAATCTGCAACAAGAAATTTCCAAGAAATGGATATTTGCAAATACACCTCGAGAGACACAAAGGAGAGAAACCTGTCGAGTGTTTCATCTGCAACAAAAAATTTGCAATCAATTTACAGCTGCGCGTACACCTCCGGAATAACCATACAGGAGAGAAGCCGCACAAGTGTACAATATGCGAGATGACATTTAAAATGAAGGGCACCTTGAACAGACACCTCCGGACCCACACAGGAGAGAAGCCCTTCGAGTGCACAATCTGCAACAATAAATTTGCAAGTACCACCACTTTACGCGCACATCTCCGGACCCACACAGGCGAGACCCCATATGAGTGCACAATCTGCAACAAGAAATTTAAGTTTAGTGACAATCTGCGCGCACATCTGCGGATCCACACGGGAGAGCGGCCCTACGAGTGTACACTCTGCCCCAAGAAATTTGCACAACAGTCATCTTTGGACTCACATGGCTGGAGCCACACAGGCGTGAGGCCCTTTAAATGTACCGTCTGTAACAAGACATTTGCAAGAAGTAGCGCATTGCTCAAACATCTCTTGGTCCATATCCAATAGAACCGCACTTCTAGTGAACAATCTCATCAATAAATTTGCGCATAATAAGTATAGTCAAAAGTCATGCACACCTGTAGGAAACCCCTCTCACAATAGTAAAGGTCTGAACTGGAAGACTTATAACGGTGCGCGTGCTTTGTTTGAAAACTCCCAGCTAATCGGAAAAAGGGGGCAATATGAAAACTGAATCTTGTTTATAATTATTCAAATAAGTGCATCTTGTGAATTAGGAAATGTGTGTGATCTTCTGTTTTGTAAAAAAAAAAAATAAAAAAAAAAAAAAAACTATGACGCAATAATGCCATGTGATTCATTCTGTGTATCAGTGAGTGGAGAATGAGAATGTGCAATAAGATACTACGTAAAGTGGAAGTATGGAGGCCCATTATAGAAGGTGGTACTGTTGTTTGTTTAGCGCAGTCACAGCGCACACACACACACACGCACACACACACATATACACACACACACATACACACACACACAGCGGTAGCAGGCGATTGGTCCCGGGAGGGAAGTCCTCCGTCGTCCGCCGTGGGGGCGCTTCTTTACTTGCGCCGACGTTTTAATTAAATCCAATTTATTTTGAACCCCTGGCCGCCCCCGAGCCGCCCCCGGGCCGCCCCCGCCTAGGCGCGCCTGCTCCCCCCCATATTTTTAGTCCGCGTTTTCCTCTCCTGGTTGGTGCCGTGCGGCGCGTTCCCCCCAGCGGCCGGGGCAGAGGCGGGGCGGGGGCTGGCCACCACCAGCGGCAGCAGCAGCAGCCCGCTGGCACAGCGTGAGAGCGCCGCCAGCCAGAAGCAGCAGTTCCTGGACAACCCCTTCCCAGCCCCCACCCGCCACGCCACGCCCAGCAGCAGGCCCGCCTCCCCTGGGCTCCCCAGTAAATTTCGCGTGGTCGCCGACCCCTCGCTGCCCCCGCTGCGCCCCTCTGGAGGCGGGGGCGGCGCGGGGCGGCTCCTTGCGGGGCGGGGGCGGCGGCGGCGGCGTGGCCTTGTCGGGGCGGGGGCTGGAACTGATGGCGAGCAGAGGTCCTTCGCAGCGGGTGGGCGTGGGGGAGAGAGAAACCCGAGAGGAAAATATGAAAACCCAGCGGACCGGGGCGGGACCCATCCACACCAGCTCGCAAAATGCGAGAATTCACGATGCGAGGGAAAAAATTGACCAATAATGCAAAATTTATTTTAATTCGTCAAAAATTTCCTTCGAGCCGGATTTGAACCAGCGACCTATGGATTCCTGCTCCCATTGCCTCTACAGTCCACCGCTCTACCAACTGAGCTATCGAAGGAGCCTGCAAGATCCCGTTTGGTGAAAGCAACATAATGCGGCTGTCGGTCGGGCTGGGTGCGGCTGCCTCGTGCACGGGGAGATGGAGGGGGTCACAAAACAAGGCCGGCGAGTCGGAGCGGCGAATTGGGCGACAGAGAAAAGGAACAGGGGAGGGAAGGGGGTCAGCGCACCAAAAACGCGTGTCCTTGTCAAAAAATAAATAAAAAAATATCCCGACTTAAAGGTGCGAAAATTAATTTGATATGGGTATGCGATTACGAGAAATAGGAAACACCGCAAGACTAGTGTAAATTTATTTGCCATAAGACAGGTGAAAACATTTTATTTCCAGCGAACACAAACCAAAAAAAAATCAACAAAGCGCTCTAACGCGTTTAACTGAACGAAAAGGCGGGGCGAAAAAAAATAAAAACATCCTTCGAGCCGGATTTGAACCAGCGACCTATGGATAACTGCCAACGGCGTGCCTCTACAGTCCACCGCTCTACCAACTGAGCTATCGAAGGAGACATGAGGAGGCGGGCCGCAGATTCGTGTTTTGTGCGGCTGCCAGAGAGTGGGGGCGCGTCTCGCCTCGCCGGGGGGGCCCGGGCCGCGAGAGAGCGGTATCGCGGTGAAAGTTACGCAACGGATCTACTTCGGCCCCAGTTCGGCCGCACCTCGGCGGCCGTATGCCGCGAGCTCGCGACTCGCGGGCCGCGCCCCTGGCCCCCCGCGGGCCCAGCCGGAACTTTGTTTTATGAAAAACGCGCCGCGTCGAGTTGGCCCGCAGATAGATAATCAAGTGCCCACCCCATGTCAATATCACAACATGTAGTGTACATCGATCATCGATTGTGCGAACGGGCTCACTGACGGCCATTGTACACTCAGTACCAAAACCATCGCGGACGTTTGTTTTCGCCGAATGCGGCACGAGGCTATGCGATGGTGGTGGTGGTGGTGCCAGTGAGGGGGTGGTTGCCCTCCGCAGGGAACGCCGCTCCCTTCCCCCGCGGCCCCGCCATGCCCCGCGGCCCCGCCAGGCCCCGCGGCCTCCTCGCCGCGCCATGCCTGCCGCGCGCTCTGCGCCGTAATTTTCGCGAGGGGGCGAAGCCAGCGAAGGGGTGCCTGTCTGGTGGGGACCCCGCGCGCCACGCCCCTCTCCGCCACGCCCCGCCACGCCCGGCCGTTCGTTTCGCTACCCCCTCCAATGAAAAAGAAAATAGGAAAGAGGAAGGCAAATTTACGGGCAACTTAATTCCCTACTTCCCCCTTCCCTCTCTCTCCCCTTTCGTTTTCCCCGCTCGTCCACTTTCCCTGCGCTGCTGACAATGTCAGTGGCATTGCCCCCCCTGCACATCTGGGATGAATGCCAAATGCTTGCATTGTGCAGCACTGCCCCCCCCCCTCTCCCGATCTCCTCCTCACCCGCATTCCTCCTGCTACATCATGTATTACCTCAGCAGCCCGTGCGGCCGCCGCCATGGGGGAAGGGAGAGAATGAAGGGCCGCGCAGCGAGAGAGAGTGAGTATGTGCGTCCTGCACGTGTGTGACTCAATGAGAGTTGGAGCGAGCGAGAGAGAGAGAGAGAGAGACACGACAAGCAGCAGCAGGAAACCTGCAGAAGTACGTCCGTAGTGCGTTGCAAGCGGCCATGCCACCAGCTGCCCGCCGCACTACCTCTGACCACCACCATATGTACGGCGACCAGTTTCCAGCTCGGCCTTGAATCCCTTCTTCCTCCCTTCCCTCCCGCAGTCTCGTGTGAAGATTTCCCTTTCATCTGGAAGGGAAGACAATATTTCTCATAGCGCCTTGCTGCTGTTTTCTACCCAGCCCAGCCCCAGAAGTGCGGCTGACCGAGGCTTGGCGGGCGGGCCAGAGAGTCAACAGAACAGACCGTCCCGGGCGCGAGCCCTGCGTGATGTCAGCGGCCGCCCGGCCGGGGCCCAGCAGCCGATAAGCCCGTCTCAGCCCGGCAGCTGATAGCAGTCCGCGCGCGCACACAAATAGAGCCTTCCGCTACTTCTGGCCGTCGCTGTCGCTATCGCACCGGCGCGCTCACAGCGCGACTTGGCGCCGCCACCGCGCGGCCGGCCAGGCTGCGGAAATACCACCGACTGAACTCGTGTAGTACAGTGCAAGTCGACTGCCAGTGACTGTCACTACTACTGTGAAACCTGTAGAGACACTGTTGAGATACTGCTGTAAAACGTGTGACTCTGTTGAGTGACCGCAGTATAACTTGTGAAGGCCCTGTCGAGTGGTTGCTGTGAAGACCCTGTTGAGTGATTGACGTAAAACCTGTAAAGACCCTGTAGAGTGATATTGCAGTAAAACTTCTGAAGGATCACCGTAAAAGCCTAACAAGACCCTGTTGTGGAGTGACTGTCCTGTAAAAACCCGTGAGGGCCCCGCGGGTGCATGAGAAGTTCGAAATACAATTTCGGAAGTGCAGATGGGGAAAACGGGTGGGGGAGACGCGGAAGAAACGTCAACTTGTTCCTTGTCGTGGGAATGGCCAGGGCACTGCTGGGCGAAGGACACGGGTGGAGAAGGGGGACGGGGGTGAAGGGAAGATGGAGGGGAAACGGGAGCAGGAGTCGTCGGGCGCACCGGCTCCACTCAACGGGAAACAATTGATAGCTGTATCACGGATAGTCGGACAGTGGCTGCTGCTCCCCTCGAGCAGAAGACCAGGGGCCAAAAGATAGCTCGCTCTCGCTCTCTCTCTCTCTCTCTCTCTCTCTCTCTCTCTCTCTCTCTCTCTCTCACCCTCTCTCTTTCTGGACGTGTCAGACGTGTCTCTGGTGGTGGTGGGGATGATGATGATGGTCTCGGTACAGGACGGAAGAGAGGGGTAGAGAGGTACAAAACAGCGAAAAAAGTTGGTGTGGAGAAACGCATCATCTCCGATCCCTTCTCCCTTATCGGCCGGCACAATACAGTCGCGGATGGAGCCAAGTTGAGGAGAGCGAGCGACAGGTCGACAGGTCCCGGAAGGGGGAGCATATAGGGGAGGCGGGGGTCAAGTGGTCACTTGATGAAGTGACAATGCCGGCCGGAAGCGGAGGCAGCAGGGTAACGCGACCCCTGACCTTGGCATTGTTTGTTTATTCACTGCTCCAGGTATAGCGGCGACTTTGCCTCCGGGGATCCTTTCCTTTTGATTCGCGTTCTATTGCCGTTTGATGGCGGGTTGATTGCGGACAGCCGTCTGCTCCCCCCTCCTCTGCTTCGGACCCCGCGACGCGACCCCGCGACCCTCTCGCGGCGGGTCTCCTCGCGGCCCGCGGCGCCGAAAGAGCGCGGTATAACTCACGCAAGTGACCGCGCCCGCGGCGACACTTACAACCCCGCGATAGGACGGACGGCGCGGACAAGCAGGCGGCGCGAATGGAAGGAGAAACATGACTTTGCCGTTGCGCTTCCGCGCTTTCACGGAGGACGAGGAGGAGACCCTATCCATCCCGGTCCTGGTCGCGCCGCTCGGGGGACCCGCCGCCTGTAACGAGACGTTTGAGTGACAATCGGCCGGGCTGGCCCAGAGCGTCTTCATTATCATACACACGGCCAGCGGCAGCGGCACGGCACTGCTGCAGGGGCGGAGAGGAGAGGAGAGGGGTCCTCGCGCCCAACGGTCGGCTCGGCCGGCGTCGCCAACTCTGCCAAACGTTCTATGCGCCAATTTTCACTCGGCTTAGGACGCAGACCCCCCCTCTAAAAGTCCAGGATAAAATTAAACAATTCGCTGGGATACTAACGATTTGCAACATAGTATGCGTTTATCGACACCATCACAAACATTTTTCAGGAAAAATGCATTACTATAATTTCCTGTGTTATTTCATTTATTTTTAGCGGCCTCATTTGCCGATTTAAGCCTCCAGTTTTCTGCTGCCTCTCTTCCCGCTGGCGGTCGTATCGGTGACAGAGTGAGGGGCCGCTGTGTGCGCCCAGCGATCCTGCGCCGCCGCCGGCAGCAGCAGCAGCATCAACCACACAAA